GACCCACCGTAAACTTTCTGAATTCTCTCTCTCGTCTAAAGCTATACGATTAAAATTGAAATTAAGTAACGGTTGTATCTTTCTCTATCCATGTATCTCGTCGCTTCATCTAATACAAATTTTAATTGCCTGTAACCTTTTTCTTTTCACGTGATATTTCACGAATATATTAACATTCTGTATAAATAGAAAAAGAATCATTCGAGAAGGCAAACGCGTTTTTTCAACGTGATTGAAATTAATGAAAATACGCTTACTTTATGAATATATAATAATCATGATAATTTTCAAGTATCAAGCATCACACTTTTTTCCTGAGAGAAAATAATTTTTTTTCAGATATTTTCCTGCCACTCGACGGTGCGCAGCGTTGTAGACAGGGCAGGGAGGATAGGCGTAGAATAGAGGAGAGACAGAGGCGCGAGGAGGAGAGAGGATGGAAACGAGCAGAAGCCCAGGTAGGGGAGGCAGGAACGATGAAACGGGATAATACGGACGCTGCAGGACGCGGCAGCCATCATCGAATGCTAATGAGGGGTTGGCGGCTTTTGGGGCGGAAGATTCAGTCCATGCAGTGGCGCACTGTTGCCGGAGAAACGGTCTGATTATAAATTATACATTATCTCGTGCTAGACCCCGTGTACACAACCAACTAGACGAGAAGCCTGACATCAAAATGTACACGAATTCGGGGATAGATTAAAGAGGGGGGTCGGTTTGATCGGAATTGCTTAAATACCCCGATAATCGCTGATTTATCATTTTCGTGGATGGACAGTTTTTATTCGATAATAGGTACTACTATGTAAATGTTATATTGTTGCAAAAGAAACGACCAAGTTTTTAATATACAAAAGGATTATTAAGTTTCATTAAAAATAATATTAATCAACGCAATATATCTTATCTATCAAACAGGTAAAATTATGAAAATTAAAATTGTTTTTTATAACAATAGCAATTTATTACATTCTATTATTCTGATACGTACATCAGATAATCAGTAAAAATTTTATGAATGGATGTATATATACATATATATATATTTATATACGTCATTCTCGCTTTAGTCATGACATATATCTATGTATACGATCTAACCTAACCTAATCTAACTTTTTAAGCGGTTATATCCTGTAAATATACGATATATATATATTGCAATCGCTTAACGAAATTAATCGATTGTGAAATTGGCTATTTCGTGTACAATAATAATATTATTAAAATATTTTCGCGTTCTGTGAGGAAGCAAAAAAAAAGAAAAGATCAGCTTGTAATTTAGAAAGATTTCACTGTTGCTCTTCTCAGTTACGGGAGTAAACGTTTCTCGGAACGACACAGCAACAGTGAGGATTAATCAAAGGAAAGAAACACGGAACGGCTGTACCGAGTACACTGAGTAAGCTAACAAGAATGTTTGCTGGCGCAATGTTACCCAGCAGATCGAACTGTTTATAAATTATATATTATCTCGCGATACGCCGAGAGCGTACACAAAACCCGACTGGACGTTCACTGGCCACTGAACCTTATCGCAAAAGGCGTTAAACATTCGACGCCGCCGACAAAGAAAGAAATGGAGAAATGACACAGATTGAATTATGCAATTATTGCGCGATAGATTCCAACGATTGCGCTCTACTTTTTTTTTCATCCCTTCTGATGTTTTCACGCACGGTTAATGGACGAATTGTTACGGAGTTACATAGCGTAGTATAACGTGTCGGATCACGTAAATTATTTAAATTGAACTTGTTAAATAAATGATAATCTAACAAGATATATATAATTGGTTGTTTTGTCCCGCAAACACTACGATGGGATTGTTTTTCTTAATATTCTTCTTTCTTCGTTACATTTATGAAGGAGTAATAATTTTTTTAAACATAACCTCAATCTATCACTTTCGAACTTTGGCACATGCACGAAAGAATAATTGAACATCCGGAATGTTATATATTTAATACCGATAAATATGACGATTTAAAATAAATTATTTCATATTAATATTATACATTTGTCACAGAATTAAGATTTAATACAAACGTTAAAATAGAAAACCCGTGTAGCGTGCGTAATTTATGTGTTCCGTTGCCTGAAAATTTGGTCGCAGTCCAAGATGGTGGACCGAAAAGAAAACACACACGTATAGAAAAACGATATCGCGAAATACCACCGAGTCATCAGCAGGCCGCCGATCCCTGACCTCAAAATGCAGTATGTACGTTCACATACCACCGGGTGAAAGATTAGATACTCGTATTTTCGAGTTAATTTTGTATATTATAAAATGGATGTGCCCGCTTCTTTCCTAATTTTACGAGGTTAAACGCATGCGTACATATAATTTGTCGCAATGCGCATGCTCTCTTTCCCCGAGAAAGATGGAAGATCGTGTTTTTTCGCAGTATCGTTTATCCCTCTCTCCTCTCCTCTCTCTCTCTCTCTCAAGTCTGCAATACAAATTCAATGATATTTCGAGCTAAGATATTCGATGCTGGAAAAATGCATATTTGCCCGTATAATTTCTACTTCAAATAGAATTCTAAAGTTGAAATCACGTGGCATTTTATCGGTGCAAAGTTCGAAGCCACCCAGTCGCCAATCCCAATTCTATGCTCGAAAGCGTAGTACATTCACGTACTAGCGATAGATTATGTCCATAGACACGGCGACGGATATTGCAGCGAGTGGAAGAAAAAGAATGACGTCGCTTGAGTTGAATTCAAAGTGCTATTTTTATATTACTTTATAACGAAAGCGATCGAGCACAATAGAATTTCAAATTATTTTTTTTTTTTTTTTTTGGATATTAAAATTTCGGAAATACTAGTATCGCGCCAAAATCAAAGATTCTTTAATAAATATCTGAAACGTATTCCTAGATTTTAATCGATCTTCCTTTAAACACTAAAATTCTACGAAATCATTTTTATTTCGTATATAGTTTTCAATAAAAAAAATTATATCATCATTCGATACATTCTGACACATTTTACGTTCCGTAAAATACTTGTAACACGAAGTATTCCGTGACTTCGAGAAAAGATTAAAAAAATCGAAGTCGCTAAGAATAGTAAGAGAGAGAGAGAGAGAGAGAGAGAGAGAGAGAAAAGGAATACGAAAACACGATGTGACAAGTTTTACCAACAATTTATCTTCGTCATTGCGCAGCCCATAAAAACGGCTCAAGGAACGTTAATAAAAATGTCTCGACTAATTTTACAACGTAACCGCCGAGAGATAGCCAGAGACTGAAAAGATGGCGCCCTCGCAATTGTCGATGCAAAAGAGATAGGGGAGGAAGAAATACGCCACGGATGGACGATGCATAATGCATCGCGTGTTCCCGGGCTAACGTTGATTCGCGTACATAACTTCAATTACAATTAGTCAAGCATCCTGGAGGTCTCTATGCAACATTCCCACAGGTATTTCGGCTGACGCACCCCAACTTCCAAATGCATTAACGTCACGTCTCCCTCTCGCTCGACTCCTCTCCTCGACGTCTATCGAGGATGGTGCCAGAGAAGCTTGCGTATCTCTCCAACAACAGAAACCTAAAACCTCTAAAGTCTACACGAGCGTGTTTATAAAATACGAGAAGATTCGTCTCTGTGACATCGATGCTACGAAGAGACAAAGACTCGAAAGTTGTAACCCGCTATTTATTAAGTGTCCCTGGCGCGCGTATATCGATTTAAAATCGTATCGTAATTCAATTCCGATCATAATTTTTCAGAACGGAACGGTATTAGCCCTCGATATTCAAAGAGCAAGTTCATTCCCACCGTGCAATCGGGCGACACGTGAAAGAAAGCCAATTGTGTCTCATTTGCACGAATAAATTCGGTTGTGATTTACCGACCGAGTAACTGTTCCCATCGTGTACCCGGCGGCTTCCTGCACGGTATTCCTATTTGAAATTATGATCCACCCAATGTAAACAAACCATCATCGCGATAATTTCAATGGATGAAGTTTTAATTTCGCTTAATCGCTATTTACTGCGTCATTGTGCGGCCCGTAATAGGCTATATAAAACATAGTCACGGGTATAATTTGCGGCCAACATTATCATGGTGACGACAGGTGTAGTTGGCCGTATACATGTCCTTCTTGCATGCGCAACTAACATAAATGAATAGGATACGCGAGTCTCGGTAGCACGTGCTACCAGGATTCGAGTAAACGACCTTTAAGCTGTGTCCTTGACTTTTCTTGACATAGTTTTAAGCGCCACACGGGTCGGCTTACACGTTCTCCAAACGACACTCTTTCTTTCTTTCTTTTTTTTTTTTTTTTACGCCGCAATGAATCCGTAAAGAGCCTCATCTTATAAAAGCGACAACTGCAGGAATCATCTCTGGGGCGGATCAAACCGCGCGAAGTATTGTTAGAGGAATAAATTGTGAATAAAGTGTTTTACGACACTTTTTCTTGTCGATTAAATCTTTTTAAATTTTTAATAATTTATTTATACTTGTTAACGAGAAGAGTGAAAGTCGTTCGATTATAATCTAATAATCTATTTTGAACGAGCGAAATAGCGTATTTGATCGTAAAATTTGGTTGAAAACGCTTAATAGGGGGAAAAAATGATAACCGCCTCGTACGATGATTGTGCTTCGTGAATGAAACTGGCTCTTACATTTGAAAATATGGCTGCCATATGTGGCAGCGGAGCAGCACGCTTGGCCAGCACAAATTACGTCCTCTACGTATTTCGAACTTCATTTCACCTTCTTCAGTCGCTTCTTAAATTAACGATCTTCTTGCGACGAGATTCCAGGCAAACTTTCGAAACTTTCGTAAAGCGAACACATTCCTTGTGTTACGATAACGAAAATAAGTAATAAAATTTCGAATAGTTTCGGAAATATCAAAGTGGAAATAAAAATCTCGTCTTCAATATCGACTCTCCGGGTAAACAAAATTTCCAGCAAATATTTCTCAGCGAAATGGCTACGCTAATGTAACAATGATATGGTACTCACCGCACACGACTCTGTCGAACGGGCTCATCCAATCTGAAAACAAAAATAGAACGGTCGTAATTAGTGTGAACGTCAATCGATCCGATACGAAGATTATCGGCCGTGAAAAGCATGTACATTTCAGATAAACCACACTGACAGAGGCACTCATCAACACAGCCGAGATGCTCGCCGAGAAGGAGGAGAAAGAGACAAAGAAGGATGGATAATCGGAGGACGTATATAAACGAAACATATTCGAACGGATACGCAATTAGAAAGTAGTAGGAATTCGCGGCTGTTCCACACGCAAAGCTCTCGCTGCAACTTCACACCGCTAGAAACGTTCGAACCGAACCTAACCTAATCCTATTCCCAGTCCGTCTATAGTCCGACGATTAAATTCGAAATGTCACTGAATTTAATAACTCAAACGTTGATCTCTGCGTATCCTTCGTGTCAATGATCTCGATATATGATCCGATCAAAGCGACAAAACCTCTTCGAAACTTTAGTCTGAAGTACGCAGCAGTCGGCATATGCAATATGTATACGTATCTTGCGACCACATCTCTAATTAACCACTCAGTCATCCGATCGCGAACGCTATTCATTCTCTCGAGTTGGGATTTATCCCAATAAATCACTCGGCTGCATTACATTTGAACGACTACCGCGAGAGACGACGTTCCCTTTCTTCTCGGCTCGTAAAGTTATTCTTACGCACTCGTAAACCAGATAAGAACTTTATTGAATCACGAATAGACACTTCTTGCGAACGTTGCCCGATAAGGCTGCGCCATAGATGAAGAAGGAACCCCCTTCTTCTCCTTTTTTCTGTTTCTCGTGCTTGCGAAAGAGACAAATATTACTAAAAGAGAATCTAATTAAAAAAAAAAAATAACATCATTATAAATTATATTGAGACATTATATCGAGAAGAATTAAACGTTGTCTATTATGATCTCTATCTGCCGATTTGATGCTGTGTGCCTCGATCATTTCACACGAATACCATTGAAAGAACACGCTTTGACAGGAAAAAATGGCTTCCATTAGTGGAATTCATTCTATTCGTTTCCAATACTATTTAGCCGCAGGCAAAAATTTCTTTTTTCGAAAAGTTATATGATAAACGTTCGTAAAAGATGCCGGAAAACGTTGGTTGAATCATACCAATTGATAGAATATGATTTATAGTAGACGTTAGAATATTGGAATATGCATTATTCATGAATGTAACAAATAACCTCTCTATTATTTTTTTTTTATCAATGTACGATATATTTTCAATATATTATTAGAATAAAACGTTATTAGAGATTGAAAAAGTAAAACGAGTTTCAACGAGTATAATTTTGTCAAAACACAATCGGCGCCATATCTAATTGATTCGCGTATTGTGGCGCGCTCTGCCGCATTTCATTGACAATTTAATTTAAAATCCAAACGCTAGGAGTCGTTAATTCGAAGATCGCGGGAATGCCAAGTTTGGCGCGGGATAAGCAACGTAATAATATTTTAATTATTCATCAGAATGAAGTTATTGTGAATAGTTAAACAAATATCGATTATTATCGTGTTGATCGTTATTATTGTTCGTTGAAATTGATGCAAGGTTAGTCGTGAAGTGACCAACTCGAACGACATCGCCCGATCTTTCTTCGAAAATGTTCGACTTCTATAACCTGAAGTTATATACACAAAGCCAAGAGTGCACTGCGAAAGCCAATTATTTCGAATTGGTTTATTTTCGTTTAGCGTTGGAAACGAAACCTTGAACGAGCTCCAGGCCCGTTCGTTACATTCTCGGATGGAGGACGCATCGTCTCGCTCGCGACCACTCATCCAAACGATTGCGACGACGATAAAACGAAAAACAATGGAGATCGGTAAGTCGAACAGCTTTTAAAAATACACGAATGCTTTTTCACGACATTGCCGACAAGTACGCGATGTTGACGATAGACCAACTTGCTTGTCCGCCACGAATACACGCGGTAAAACGCCGTCGGCACTTTGTTCGCGTTAATACTGCCGCAAACAAAGACGCTTGTATACAAGCTGTACTCGGAATGCATTATGCGAGACACGGAAAATAGCTGGTCGCTGGAACGAGTAAAGATTTCAAGTCTAACGATGATCACGTTGCGAATACGCTCTTATACCGAGGAACGCTATTGTTTCTTTAAATTGAAAATTTACAATATTCTTAAATGTTGGTTATCTTTTCCCGTTGTTACGTTGGACAATTATGAGATGAACAAAATGGAATTTTGTAAAAACGTAAATTAATACACGCGTCAGAGATTCGGTTTGAAAATTATATTCACAGCTTGAGATACAACGGCGGTACTTTTTTTGTGTTACGAACTATGTTTTTAGAATTTGTATAGAATCCGTCTGATTGAAAATAATTACGAAAATTCTAAATACATCTTATCCAATGAGATTATCGCCTAATTAATATCGAAATTATATAAAAACAATTGATTATATTTTTCGTTTCAATGGTAATATATTTAAATTAAACTTTTAATATTAATTAGACTAACTACTATTGCATTTATATTGCCGATAACATTTCCTATTTATTTTGTATGCAAAAAAATTTAAAATGAATTTTTATTATTTTGAAAATAAATAAGTTATATCACTAAGAAAAACATTTATCAATATTAATTCTCACTAGTTAGATTAGTTTTATTATAATTACATTTTACACCGCCAGTAATAGTTTATGTTTGAACGTGCTTTTTATGCATTTTATGGAACATTCGAGGCATAACAATGTTCTAACAAGTATTCTATAGTACCCCCTGCGGAAAGAATAACTACAAACACGTGTATCGTAGGTCAGTTTCCATTTACCGTTCGAGATTGAAGTATTTTTGTCATTTCCAATTAATCCGATACAGATTGCTTTTGTTTTTTATGCTTTTTCAATGTAATTTAGAATGTATTCTCGAATAGGCGATTTCGTTATGTTCACGAGAGATAAAAATATAAAAATCTTGCATGAAAATAAAGATTAATTTTCATCAATTATTGTTTTTTTTTTTTTTTTACGATTTTGATTGACAATAAAATGATGCAATATAAATCGATTTTATACGAGACAATAAATTTAGATTCGAATCACGTTATAATTGCTTCGTTAATTTATTACTACTAAATAAACATAGTCGATATTTTTACTTGCAAATTGGTGCCAGGACTTCGTGACTAGCAATAAGTACAAGCATAAATAAAAGGGAGGAATTCATTATTTTTTTAACAATCGTAATACTTGTATTTTTGTTCAACAATGTAGATTCAATTGTTTCATTATCTTTGACGTATTGTTAAAAGATCCGACGCAACGCGTGGTTATTAATGCGCGATGATAACTGAAAGATCATGTTCAAATAAGCGCTATAATTATCGTTTAATTCTATTATTGATTCCATTCTCATAGATAATTTAACGCTATATTAACTGACGGTGATTAAGTTCGAATCGGTGAATCAATCTTGTTTATCGTCGATCTACATCTTCCATTAGAAAAGAATGAACATTAACGAAACACGATCACGCAATACGTACTTATTTGAAATTGATGATATAATAACGATTAATTTAGTTCGCACAAACTAATTCACTATAGAACGATGCATATTCGAATAGAATTTCATTCCACTTGGTTACCTAAACAATTTAAATACGTTAAAATACTACTACTATATTTTACCATCAAATTAAATACACATTATACGAGCATTAAAGAAAAATAAAAAAAAATAAAAATATCGATATTTTTATTCTATTACCCGATATCAAAATTTATACAAAATTTCGAATATTTCTATATCTACAATTAACGATTTTAATAGCTATAAGAATATTCATTTATATTTATTTATTATACGTGGTATTAAAATAAAAATATCGATGCGTAAAAATTACGGTAAAAATTAGAAAGAAAGACTTACCGGTGATGGACATCCATGGATATCGCGGTATGTCCGAGATGCTGGGTTGTCCGGTGGTAGGTTGCTGGCAGGACGTCAAAGGATCGACGACGGCCGATGCAGCGGCGGCTTGATGATAGAATTGTGCAGCGGCGGCCATGGAGGCGGACGCGGCGGAAACAGCAGACGAAGCCGACGCGGAAGATACCAGGGTACTAGGTGTAGCGCCATTCTGATGATGATGGCCAAGGGTATAATTTACCATTGGATCAGCGGACGTTGGTGCAACATTTCCAGTGAGGCTGGCGGTGTAACGGCAAGATTTGTCGCCGGCGGTTGCAGCGTCGACGGCTGCGGCCGCAGCCAACGCTGCGCTCGAAGCCGCGGTCGAACCAAATCCTGGCACCATGCTGGATGTGGCGCCGAACGCTGCCGCCGCGACCGCTTGTTGTTGCTGATGATGATGATGCGCCGCTGCTGCTGACACGTATGGATACATGCTGGAAGTTGTGCGTGCCGCCGGTGACGTAGAGGCCGAACTTCCCGAATGCTGAGGACTCGAGCCCGTCGGGCTAGGGGAATTGTGCTGTTGCGCGTAATTCACTGCCGCGGCCGCGACTGCAGCCGCGGATAAACTCGATTCTAGACTCGCGGTTGCTGGGCTTGTCGTGCACGCTTGGATCGTGCCGGGATTCGCGCTCGAGAATAATTGTTGATGATGGAATTGCTGGTGGTACTTAGGTAGCATACTATCGATTATGAATTTCGAACTCATATCGGCTGTAGCCGGTGCCGATTTCGGATTCGATGCCGAAGACACGCCCGGACACGGTGGCCGGGTTTAGTGTCTCAACACCGACACCGTGCCGGCAAATCTGCCGGCTGCTGCCTCATCTTCACGCACACTTCCACGCCAATCACCTTTTCTTGTATCACAAGTTATCAAATAATATTCTCTCGATCGATTTTTGATCGACTCGAATTCCTTTCGCACCGTACGCACGCACTCGATTATTGTTCGATTATATTACTCGGTTCCTCTTTACGATCACGCCGTTTCTTTTCACTTTTCGTATTTGTAATTGTTGTCGTGATAATTCTCCTTCTTTTCTTCGTCCTCCTTCCTTTTCCGGCTATCTTTCTATTTTCTCTTGTTTATTCGTTACCTTTGACCCCCCACTTTGATCGCCACTTACGCAACTTTACACATTATCACTGGAACGATAACGGACGCGGGCGGAAAAGGATATCGCTAGTAGGCGGATGATCGCGATTACCGGATAGCTTGCGACGGCAGACGGTACACGGGACGTTTCCAGATCGTTCGTTTCTCTCTGTGGCTTATGCTTTCGGATGATCGTGTCGTCGATCACACACCGGAGCAAAAGAGCATCCACCGTCCAGGTATGATTTTCGGGACGACGTTACGATTCCTTTATGGTAATTACGATTCCTTCCACATCGAGATGACGAGCGGCAATAAAGCAGCGGGTCTTTCGTCGGTCAGGCCCACCCAGCTGATCCAACACAGCGGTCCCAGTGAGAAAATTGGGCTGCGACGGCGATCGAGGCGACGGCACGAGGAGAGAGAAGAGAAGAGAAGAGCGTGGCCCCTGTCAGGTGTTAGAAGCCGTTTCTTGCGTACTTCTCGGATAGTCGACGAATCCTTTATGGGCCATGCATGAAGGTACTATAGCCCCCTATCCCGAACGCCGCGTACTACAACCCACGGCCAGCTAAATGTAACCCCTTACAATAATGGCGCCGCTTGTCTCTCCGTTCTGTTCCCCCCTCTCTTCTACGATCCTCGAGCGCGCTGGGGTACCAGCTGGTAAACAGAGTCGACCAATCGCGCCGCTCCCTTATCCGAAGTGGACCAATCGCGGCCCGTCTAGGCGCGCCAAGATGAATGGTTCTCTCTCTCCACACTGACTCGCCTCTCTCTGATCTTCGCTGCTGCCTATGCTTCCAACTCTCTCTTGTTTCTTTTCCGCTGCTGCTGCTACCTCTCGTTCGTTCTCACTTCACTATACCACGCTCTCGCGCTTCGTCCATACCACGATTCTCTTCGTTTTGCTCTCTTCGCCTCTATGTGTTCAACACCGCTCTACTCTTTTCTCTGCCAGTGCAGTCCTGTTCACCACGTTGCCTTATACCCTATACTGTCGTGTGCAGCCTTCAGACGTCTCGCGCGATACTTTTACTTCTCTCTCTCTCTCTCTCTCGCGCCACTTTTTTTCTTTCTCTGTTTTTCTCTAATCTCTACTCTTTTCTTTCTCTACGCTCTTTTCTCTCGTTCACTCTTCCTTGCCGCTCCCTTTTTTTCGTGCTTTACTTTCTAGCGAGCCAGCAGTTTTTCTGATGATTAGCCTCGCACGCGTTTATCCACTTTTTCCGACGTTTGATTCTCCTTTATTTGTATACCTCTCGCTTTGTCTTGTTTCTCTTCGATCTGGTCGTATTCCTCTTGATCGTAAACATCACGTCATCCACAATTTCTTCAATTTATAATTTTTTTATCGATCGTTTTAATTATATCTGTGTAACTTTCGATTTACGCGTGAGTTTGCGTACGTCCGACGGCCACTGATTCATCTTTACGAGTTTTCGCCGAGTGTTCTTAAACTTCTACTCCCCGATCTTTTCCTCTCTTATCATTTTTCTTTTATTTCCATTATTTCTTCACGTTTATTCCCAAAAATTCTTATTCCTAATTCCTCTCTTTGAACTGATTGTTATAGAACTTCGTTTTATTCTATCGTATCCATATACATATATATATTTCACAAAAATATTCATAAACTCGTCGAATCGGTCAATTAAAAAAATAAGTAATATCACGATGATCGTAGATTTCGTAATTACGATTCGCTACACGAACATCTCTTTTCGATTCCTTCTAAATGGCGTTCAAATCTCTTTTGATTCAGCCAGAACTGCGTATACCTCTCGTTTTCTCCGTTCCCGCGAGGAATATGCAAGCGAACTCTGCCGCTTTTCGCCAGTGTCGTCTGCTCGACTCTTCGAAACCACTGAACTCGTCCCGGTCGGGATAGCGGCGGCATTCCTACGTTCTCAGAGTGGTGGCGAAGCGTTGGGGCAAGAAGCGAGCTCGCGGGCTCGGAGAAGAGAGGGTACAGTACGACTACTTGCGGTCAGAGGGGAATCGAGGGGGCAGTCTCGATGGAACATCACGCGCGCGAGGGTGCACAGGGGCGGGAAAAGTTCTCGATCGCGAGATTCTTGTCAATGGAGAAAAGAAATATAACCTCTATTACCATACGTGATACAATTCATTGTATTTTGACAATGAATGTAGTCGATCAACGAACGATAGTATATCTATATTAATCTAATGAAAAAGGAATTTTTAATTTTTAATTATATTTCATTCTTTGAACGATTTCGTATATTTACTTATATAACTTTGCGTCATACTATATTGTCTTGTACAGTGTATACGCAACTCTACTGTATCGCGTTCGTTAAAGACCTCTTCTCAATTGATCGCGTTCCTTTTTCTGTCTCTTCGCGGGACGAGCAGCGGCTTCATTACACTGGATGGTTCGGTTTAAATATAACGCGGCTTGTTTGTTTTCATGCTGAGACTCAATGCCAAGGGGTAAATGGCTGCTCGTATTGTACGCGGTGTACTATACAATAGTTCCTTCGTCGCTTCTGATGACGCAACGAAAGAATTTTTAACGATAGGAAAACAGGGCGAATGACTTTTTATTTAATTAAGATCTGTTTATTAATTTTTTTTTTTTTGCACGAGATAATTAATCGAACGATCAAAAAAATACATTAGTTCCGTCGGGTCTTTTTGATCAATTTTCAAGTTAAAATGGTTAAACTTACCTTGAATGCTGCTATCCAATCCTGAAACAGAGTATAAATAAAATTCTCATTAGCGAATCATTTTTAAATTATTTTTTGCGAAGAGATAACGTAAACGGCCGATTTTAATGACTTGGCAGTTTTTTTTTTTTAATAATTCGAAAGTATTTTAATCTTTTTTGAACTAAAATTTATAAAAATTATTAATTATTTTATATCAATATATATATATATTTAATTATATCAACCATTGTTTCTTAATAAGTAAATAAATTACACTGTTTCACTAACAAATATTCAATGAAGTAGAATTAAAAAAGGCTTTAAAACTTTTTTTAATTTAATTAATACCTCGTCTACTTTCTTTTCCAATCTTTAAAAAATTAATTTTAAAAAATTACCAGACGAGAGAAGTATACGATATATATTTTTACACGAATTTAATACACGTCCTCTTTCAAGGAAACAACAATCCATGGAATTCGAATCATTTGATTTATCCCATCGATTAGAAACTACTCCCCACGAGAACCCTTAATTTCGAACCGTCAACAAAAAAATTGGGAGCCGGCGTGGATGAACAGGCGTGGTCTTTCAGGTATACTCGAGCCATACGTCAGAATATGGAAAGCGTGTAGATGCCTCCGAGGCTAATCTATGGAGATGAATGTCCCACCCCTGGCAGAATCCACGCATCGAGACCGCTCGATCTTTTTAAGACACCGCCTGTTTCCCGATGATATCCAACATGGCCAACCTCGAGGTGTACAAAAGGAGAAATGCCTCGGCGCCCTTTGTAGCCCGAGACGATAGATGGAACGATACAGAAAACGACCTAAACAACGACCGATGGTTGTATATATATATATATATATATATATCCTTTTCTTATAAGCGGGACAACATGTGAACTGGTTTAACCCGTGTCGAAAAAACATTTATGAAATTAAAGAAAGAGAAAGAGATAAAAAAAAGAAATGTATCTCTTTCAATAATAATGGTTAAACGACCTTTTTTTTTTATAAAGTTTTTCTCTCATCATCGATGACCCAATAATTCCGTATCAGGTCAGATTCGAGACAGATCTGACAGATTTCATTAACAAATTCGATCCAACAACAACAACGTTCGAGAGAGAGAGAGAGAGGAGATCGATCCAATTATTTCGACGATCGTGACTCGACGATCCGAATGCACAGTGTCGCGTGCACGATATCGTACAGCTGTATTCCACGCCGTATATACCTGTCTCGAACATCACGGGATATAAATTGCGACCGTGGCACAAGGTGGAAGGAAGACACGCACAACAACCACCGCGTTTGGTATGCGTGCCTACGAGAAACAGCGTCTGTTGGATAAAGTGACAAGGTTCGTTCTGGAACCTTGGAAATGCGAATGCCATCGAAGAGAAATTTCGAAGGGAGAGGGGGGGATGGAGTGAATTTCGAAGAAAGAAGAAAAATTGGGCGGTGGTTTCTCTGTTGAACGATGGTGCAGCTCGGGGTAAACTGCGGGGTGACGCCCTGACAATCGGGACCAGAGGCACCTATCGCGCCATCTTCGAGGAGATAAAGAGAATTCCCGAACTACAGTTGGCCGTGCAAGGTAAACGGTTTATCGGACTGTCGATGAATTTTTTTTACAAAAATTAGGGAAGAAATGCGAAGTAATTAAATTATCAGATTTTCAAGATTAAAAATCTTTGTTGTTTATCCGTGTGAATGCTAATTTTTTTTTTTTTTCTATAATATAAAAATTGTTTCTGCGTAGGAAGAAAATACAAAATTATAAAAATCATGTGTTATATTTTAAATAACGATCCTTTCAATAATAAGTTTCAATCAAATTTGTTAAGTATGTTTATCGTATACACCGGCATTTTCTTTGCTTGATTATTGAAATTCTGTTGTGAAAGATTTACAAGTATTGCGAGTAATTAGACGGCGAGAGGGAAATATCCGGATACGTTCGGGTTGTAACGTCGAGTGAAGTAACAATGTTGTGTACACACTTATTATTATACTTGAAACCGTAGTGGATCGAAGTTTGCGATAAGGTGATTTGACGTACAAATAACGTTTCGCTGGAGGATCGGTGAAAATTAATTTTCAACAAGTATGGTACTTTGTGATATTTCTAAAAGCGATCCTTGGCTTAATTTAATATTTAACGACGGAATCGGGAAAGTATTAG